CTCTTTTGCCCCATGCACCACTGAACTCTCAACCTCAGAGCCCCCCCAGCTCCCACATCCCCAGGTCCTTCCACTCCCCCCTCCCACTAACACACTGGGACCTGCACCAGTCACTTTGTGCAGCATTGGTCTGCTCACTACCTCATTCAGCATTGAACTGACCTCATTCAACTACCTCTTCTGACAGTTTAAATAAATAACTGCTCTCTGAGCTTTTTGTCACTTTAATCAAAATAAGCTCTTTTGCACTACAATCATTATATCTGCAGTTTGTTTACTTCACTGGTTTGCACTCTATCTGCCATGTGCCTTGTGCTGCTTTATTTACTTATTTATTTTTACATGACCTTATTTGTATAGTTGTATTTTATTTTATATTTAATCTGTATCTATCTGTATTTTATGTTCTACTGTTAGTGTTATCTGTATGCACCAAGGGTCTGAGAGTAATGCAATTGCAACTCTCTGTATGTATGTGCTGTACATGTGGAAGAATTGACAATAAAGCAGACTTGACTTGACTACATAAAAACCAAAAGAAATCATGAAGGAAATGATTTATTTAGCAAAGGACACTGTGATATAAATGACTATATACAGAAAAAGAGCACAGAGGTTTGGCAAAATGTGCAGCACTCATCAATGCACTCAAAAAAGACCCTGTTTTACCAGGACACATTAAAAAAATCAAGATCAGGGCAACATCACAGATTACTGGCTCTTCCTATCCCAGTACCACATGATCCACCCTCTGAGAACTCCAGGTAATGCGGAGTCTTGTCTCTCGGTGCAGGGCAGATCTCAGGGTCTCTAAGAGCACTTGCATGTATGCACTACATGATGCACATGTGCAGTAGTGATGGATCAGTCCGATTCACTGCTGCAGTCTTCATCAGGCTCAAGGTTGTCTTCTCCTCCTTCCTCTCCTTCACGCTCTTCATCGCTCTCCTTATCCCAGTCCTTCATGGATGTGCCCATCATAAAATCGTCCCTCAACACGCTCCAGGACGGATTCTCCCCTTTCACTTCTACAGGCAGCTAATATCAAGAAAAGTTACAAGAATCAGTCTCATAAATCACACACGGCCTATATTTCAACATTAATTAATTCAATAAAAGCAGAAGTGTAAACCACGCCACCAAGTGGACACAATGAGTGAAATTAAGAAAAGCAAAAGCACAATGCATTTCT